GTTGAGCTTAGTTCTGGCTTTGTTCCAATTCTTTTCCATGTCCCTATTCTTCCCTGTGCCACTGTATACCAGCAGTGTTTAACTTTCTTTTTAATATTACTGGGGGGCAGTTCATAGTTTGCCTTAAGTCTCAGAGGGACTTTGGACTTTTCAGCAATGCTGAAACTGTAAAGACTGGTGACTCCTACACATGGACTGAATGCAATTTGCACAGAGATGTAAATGAATCTTTGGAGGGCCAGGGAGACAGCTCAGTAGCATAAGCACTTGCCTGACAAGCTCAAGGCCCTGAGTTCAATCCCCGGTTCTGCCAAAAAAATAAATAAATAAATAAAATAAAATAAAAATAGAATAAAATAAAAGAGTCTTTGGGGCTGGAGGTAGAATGTTATGGTTTATATCCAGATGTCCTCCTAAAGCCTCATGGGATCATAGGCGGGACCTTTGGAAGTGATTGGATTATACAGGAGCATTATAGCTGACTTGCTGCTAGGAGGTGGGGTCTGGTCAGAAGAGGCAGCTAACTGCTGGCTTCACACGGACGGCCCTAACTCCCTCCCTCGCTCCTCCCTTGCCACTCTCTGCTTCCTGCACATGATGAGGTGAGCGGCACTCCTCTGCCTAGCCCCTTCCAGCCTGCTGTTCTGCTCTGAAGCCAGGTGACTAGATGGTAACCTCTACAAACATCAGCTAAGGGAAGCCTCTTCCTTAAGTTGTAAGTGCTAGATATTGTGTTTCAGTGACAATAAAAGGAATGGAGAGGCTCACGTTTCTACTGGGATTGCTGCCTCCATTAGCGCAATGGGCGCAGAGGTACATTAGCGCTCTTCTCCCGGTCCTATTTTTGAGATTACCGCGGTCCCCAGTGGAGCTTTGTACTGGGGGTTCTTCCAGAAGTGAATACACAGCAGCAGAACAGCATCAGTGTTAAGAATGCTCCTACCACCCAGTAAAAGCTGCTGCTCATTTGTTCATTTTTTTTCTCTATGTAGTCAGCGAGGGTCAGATGCTGTCCTAGGTGCTCAGGACCAGTGAGCCAGAAAGCCTGTTCTTATGACACCTATCTTCCAGCAGAGGGCACCAAACAAACAAGGCCTAAAACCTGTGCACTGGGACTGTTTGAAGCAGATGTGGACCAGGGAAAAGGCCAGCATGGCTAGAGGGTAGGGACGAGTAGGGAGGGGACGCTGGTTGCCCTCCCCATAGGGTGTATGGAGGGGGACGCCCGGAAGAAAGAGAGAAGCCAGGTAGTTAGCAGAGTGCTGAGGAAAAGCAGAGACATCAGTATGGCTGGAAGTATCTGAAGGCAGAGGAGGCCGGATCAGAGAAGGGCACAATGGGTGCCACAGGAGGCCTCACTGGCCACAGCAGGGACCTGGGCCTTGCCTCGCAATGAGGCAAGCGGATGCTGGCGAGTTCTGAGTAGAGGGCTGGTATGACCTGGGGGCTGATGTATAGGAATTGCTTTGGCGGCCACGCGGAGGACAGACTCAGGGCAAGTAAGGGTAGGCTCAGAGTTCAGCTAAAAGCCTGCTGCCACATGTGGCTGTGGTGGGCACAAGAAGCCCACTGCATTCTCCTGACCCCTGGCAGGGGGTGTGAGAGAGAAGGGAGTCCAGGTGACTGTGGCTGGCATGAGCAGCATGGAGTCTGTGGATGGAAATGGGGAGGCCAGCAGGAGGAGGTGGCTGTGGGGACACCTGAGGACTGTTTGGACACATTAAGTTTGATGTGTAGTCTCAACAGCATTTCCTGAATGAACAGTCTGTTCTTTCCCCTGCGCATTAGGACGCTACCTTCTTTCGCTATGTCTGTACGTCTACCTGGGTCTACCTCTGGGTTCCGCGCTGGTCTATGCTCGACATGCAGGAGGGCAAGTAAGGTCCTCCTCAGTAGTCCCCTCAGAAGTGGCCTTGCTTAATTCGGCAAGCCTCCCTCTTTCATACGAATATTAGAATGCAGAATCAGTTTGAATATTACAGTTTGCATGCAGTGGTTCCTGTAGTATGAGACCAAAAAAACCAAAACAAATAAAAAACAGTACGACAGCATGTGTGCAGGTGGCATGACTGTGCAATTAGAAAACTCGAGAAGAGCAAAACAAAGTTAGAAATAGAAAGATAATTTAGGCTGGGGAGATAGATAGCTCGGCGGTCTAAGCACCTGTCTGGCAAGCACAAGGAGCGGGGTTCTAGCCCTGGTACTGCATGCTGTGCCAGCTGTGCCAGCTCCAGAACTCCAGGCGTGCTGTGTTGGCCACTGAAACTGAGCACGGTGGCGCAAGCCTGTAATCTCAGCGCTGGGGAGGCTGAGACAAGAGGATCACTTTGCTTTCCTGTCTCTCTTCTTTTTCCCTCCCTCCCT